GCCAATATGTTGGCCGATATATCCTTTTATATAACTTGTCACAAAACACTATACTGTGTTTGGCAATTTTTGGGCTGGATATCGTGTTTTCCCATTATATCAAATGACGTTTTGACCTACAAAAAAAATCTGATGATATGTAGCAATGTTGATTTGTACTTTTGTTTGTTTTATAAGGTTGATTAGTGCTCATAAACATATATTATTTACATTTTATATGCTTAGATTCATTAAGTATGTTGAGATTACATTTTAGTACATTATACATACAAACATCTGTTTTGTCATTCCGATCTTTACCACATATCCCCGATATTTCCCCGATATCCGCAATCCGATATGAATTTTGGTCATCCGATATTTCTCCGATATCCGATATTTAAAACCTTGGCTATAACCCATGATTTTTTTACCAATTTTAGTTGTTTTCAACTCTTTGACAAATAATTTTATAAAATTTAAAATTCACAACTTCATGAGCTATAGCACATAATTTTTAGCCATTTTGACCAACTGACGAATAATTTCATGGGTCCAAAATTCACGAATTCATGAGCTATAACCCACAGTTTTTTACAATTTTTATTCGGTCAAACCCATTGACAAATAATTTTGTGGATGCCAAATTCGTGATTTCATAAGCTATAAGTCATGATTTTTTTGTCATTTTTAGTCATTCAAGCCCACTAGCAAATAATTTTATAGAGTCCAAAATTCACGATTTCATAAGCTATATAACTCATGATTTTTAGCCATTTCCGTCCACTGACAAATACAATCATGGAGTCCGAAATTCACGATTTCACAAGTCGTAACACACAAATTTCGGCTATTCTTGGTAGTTTTGATCCATTGGTAAAAACTTTTGTGGGGTTTGAAATTCATATTTTTATGAACTATAACTCACAATTTTTGCCCACTTTTATTCGTTTCTACCCATTGGCAAATAATTTCGCGAAATTCCAAAATCACGATTTCATGATCTATAACCAATGGCTTTTTGTCAGTTTTAGTCATTCTGACCCATTGACGAATAATTTTACAATGTAAAATTCATAATGCTATAAACAATAATTTTTTGCCATTTTTATTTGTTGCGACCCATTGCTAAATAGTTTTGTGGACACCAAAATTCATAATTTCATGAGACCCATATTTGTTTACCACGGTTAGTTGTTTGAGCCCATTAGCAAATAATTTCACAGAGTAAAAAAATTCAGAATTTCCATGCGTTATGACCCATATTTTTGGGCCAATTTTAATCATTTTGTACTATTTGGTAAATAATTTTTAGGAGTTCAAAATTTAAAATCTCATGAGCTATGCACAAGTTTTAGCTATTTTTAATTAGTCTATCCCATTGATAAATAAAATATTTTAAAATTCATGATTTCATAAGCTATATAATCAATAATTCTTTACAATTTCTAGTCATTTCAACCCATTAGCAAATAATTATGCACAATACAAAATTCACAATTTTCTATGTTATTACCCAATGTTTTTCGCTATTTTTATCCATTTTGACATTGCTAAATAATTTTACAAACTCCAAAAATTTACGTTTTCATGAGCCCATGATTTTTTGTCATTTTTAGTCATTCCGACCCATTGCTAAATAATTTTGCAAAGTCCGAATAATTTCACGGAGCTCAAAATTCGTGATTTCACAATCTATAACCCATGTTTTTTTGTCATTTTATTCATTACGACCCATTGACAAATAATTTTCTAGGGTCAAAAATTCACGATTTCATGAGTTATAACCCACATTTTTTGAACATTTTTAATCGTTCCAACCCATTAGCAAATAATTACGCGGAGTCAAAAATACACAAATTTATGTACTATTAGTATTACTCATAATTTTTGTCCATTTTTATTCATTTCGATCAATCGGCAAATAATTCTGCAACGTTTGAAAATCACGATTTCATGAGATACAACCCATAATTTTTAGCTAGTTTTAATCGGTTCTATTCATAGCAAATAATCTTGCAATGTCCAAAAATCATGATTTCATAAGCTATAATTCATAATATTTAATCAATTTTTACTCATTCTGACCTATTGACAAATAATTCTACAAGTCCAAAATTCATGATATCATTCTATAACTCATGATTTTTTGTCATTCTTGGTCGTTTTGATCCATTGACAAATAAATTCATAGAGTTTAAAATTCACAATTTCATGAACTATAACTCATAATTTCTACACATTTTTAATTGTTTTGACCATTGGTAAATAATTTCACGGAATCCAAAATTCACTATTTCATAATTTATAACCCACGACTTTTTGGATAATTTTTTCTGTTTCTACCCATTAACAAAATAATTTTATAGAGTTTATGTAGGCTATCTAAAAATTACTACGGATAGTTGATCCCCACACATCACTGATGATGAGAGTTATGATCTGACAACTTTCACATTAATTGATGAAAGTTACAATCTGACGACTTCCATGACAATATATGATGAAAGTTACAATCTGACGACTTCCACATCAACAGACGAAGATTGCGATCTGACGACCTTCACAACAGCGTATGAGTTGCAAATTGACGACTCTCATATTTCAAAGAGCCGAATACAAGGATTACAAGATGACGATCCTTTCAACACTCGAAAAAAGAGATTACAAATTGACGATCTCTTCAAACCAAAACGCGAGGGTTATCCCCGTATTTCAAGTTCAAAACACGGAGCTCACCTCAGCGTATCAAGTTCAAAACGCGGAGCTCGCTACCACGTTCTAAGTTCAAAACACGGAGCTCACTACTGCGTTCCAAGCTTCAAACGCGAAGCTCAGCTCCACGTTTCATTAGTTCGACGTGAAGGTCATTACCAAAACGTGAACCTCGCGTTTGACCCATTTAAACACATTTTAAACGGTTTTAAAACCGTTTTGCACGTATTAAGGTCATTAAACCCTCATTAAAGAGCGATTTAAGAGGGCGGTTACACCCCTTAAACCCCTATAAATAGTTGAGAAGTCAGCTACAAAATGATCGTTTTGGATCATCTTGGAGGTCGGCATTCTTTGGAGCTTTTGTGAAGGCTTTTGTTGAAGCTTTGGAGCAATCTGTCTTGGCTTTTTGAACCGTGTTTCGGTTGAAGAACTTGGAGATTGGTTACTGAATTATTTTCAGTTAAAAAGGATTAATTTCCTTTCTAAAATCAATTCTTTTACAGAGTTCTTAAACTCGTCCAGAGTTCTTAAACTCGTTAAGAGTTCAAAACTTGCCTTGCAAGTTCTTCCCGACGTCAAGTCAAGAGGAATAGACTAACATTCTACGAAGTGAGGCGCTCAGATCGTCAACGGGATACAAGAATCAAACTCTCATCGCTACCAAGAAGAACCCAATTTTAAACAAAGGTAAGGATCTTTGTTGATTCCTTCTCTCTTTTGTAAATCGGAAAACCGATAAGAAGAGTTGTAATTTTTTTCCTAAGTCAGTTAGAGAGAGATTGCAAAGAGAGACTGTATCCATTCTTTTCCTAAGTCAGTCAAGGAGATTAATACAAAGTTTATTTCTCAATTTTTCTTCTAATTTTTTTGACAAACAGTTTAACATTTACGATTTCATGAGCTATGACCCATAATTTTTTACTATTTTTAGTCATTGTTACCCATTAGCAAATAATAATGTGGAGTCCAAAATTCACGAGTTTATATGTTACTTCCCATGATTTTTGGCTAATTTTATTCGTTACGATCCATTGGCAAATACTTTTGCAGAGTCCAAAATTTTACGATTTTATGAACCGTAACCCACAATTGTTTGTCCATTTTAGTCATTCTGACCCATTGACCAATAATTTCACAGGGTCCAAATTTCACAATTTCATGATCTATAAACCCGTTAGTTTTGGCAAATTTTATTCGTTTTAACCCGTTGACAGGTAAATTTACTTTTTATATATCAAATTTACGATTTTTATAGGCTATAATCATGGGTGTTAATGGATCAAAAACGGATCAGATATGATACTTATCATATTCATATTTACTTACCAATCATAGATACGGATACAAATGTTTCGATAAGAAAAATCCATATCCATATCCGTTAAAACCAGATACGGATGCAAATATA